TGGATCCGAGTTAATACTCACATATTTCTCTGCTATCCCTCATTTTTTTGTCTCAATCCCTGATCCTACTGGGTACTAAAGCCTTTCAACATCTGCATCCCTCTGGTTTCTCATGTGTACCTAATAAACAATTTCCATCTATTTTCAGCTTGCTGATCTCTGTTTTCTGGTGGAAACACAGAACAAACAGAAGCTTGCTGACAGAAACATTTGCCACGTTACCTTGGCACCATGGAAGTGACTGAAGACCACATTGAAAAATCATTAAGTTGTACAAAAATGTATAACTTAGTCAGTTGTACTGGTCAGGAATCCAATAGGATTGTCACACAATGCAGAGAACAAATGGTATTTCTTCACTACAAGCAGGGATAAAGACACAAATGAAAGATGTTGGTGAGCAGGGACAGGACCCAAAGGAACAGCTGGAGCTGTGCCAGGGAGGGTCAGGTTGGATATCAGGAAAGGTTCTTCCCCAGAGGGTGCTGGCACTGCCCAGGCTCCCCAGGGAAGGGGCACAGCCCCGAGGCTGCCAGAGCTCCAGGAGAGCTTCGACAATGATCTCAGGGATGCCCGGGGTGGGGTTGTTGGGGTGTCTGTGCAGGGCCAGGGGCTGCCCTGGATGATCCCTGTGAAACTTTCCCAGCCAGGAAATGTCACAATTTCACCATTCTCTCTGCAGAGCCTTGTGGCCCCCCATCTGAATGGAATCCTGCGGTTCCAGTGTTTCCTTGCCCCCTTTGACAAAGGCAGATGTCAGATGTTGCATTTCCAGTGCAACTCTCCGTATTACCAAACAGCACCAGGTGGTAACAATGAAGCCATTGTTCCCTTTTAAAACGTATAACTAATTACAAGTGTGGGCAGACTGGTTCCGCACCAAAATAAAGCCTGGAATGTTTGCTCAAAGATTCTGCTCAGAATGCATATTTTTCTACTGACAAAGAATGGAACCATAGAATCTTCTGAGTGGGAAGGGACCCGCAGGGATCATCCAGTCCAGCTCCTGGCCCTGCACAGACCCCCCAACAATCCCACCCTGGGCATCCCTGGCAGTGCGGTCCAAGCACTCCTGGAGCTCTGGCAGCCTCAGGGCTGTGCCCATTCCCTGGGGATCCAAGGTTTCCTCAAGAAAAGCCCCACATCCCATCCTGCTATTACACACGCACACCCATTCCAAGCTGTGGGAGGTCTGATCTTGTGGGAATCCCTCGTTTCAGTCCCTCCTATCTCACCTGACAGCTCCTTGCCGTGTAGCATTTCAATGCAAAATGCAAATTGCTTTTCTGTTTACTTCCTTGAGTAAAGTGCAGATATCCTGGCTGCAATGGAATGAGGGACTGCTGGATTTTGCAGGCTATCAGGCATAACACCCCAAATCCACACAGCTGTATCTTCTGGCAGGTTACCAAAGTACTTAAAATTACAAGTGTTTCAGCTTTAGTGATGTGGTGACTTTTAGTTTATGAGGGTAGAGTTGCAATAAAAGTCCTTTTGACCTATATAATCCTCAGAGCACTTAGCAGGAGAAAAATAAATAAGGTGCAGTCATCACTCCTGGCTGAGGCTCTGAGGACAGGGATACACTTGAGAGAAATGCATTTTCAGAGACTGCTGATCTCTGCCTGGACATTTTTTTCATATGTATTGAATAGCAGTTCTGTTTTATAAAAACCTTTTCCTGTTTTTTCTTCCTGACCATTTCAGAAAGTTTGGAAAAGCTGTCTACATTTACCTTAAAAATAGTCTGTTTAGCTCCATCCCCAGTCCTCCTGCCCTCGATGGATTGCTATGAGTGCAATAAACAGAGACAGAGCAGTCAAAATCCCTCTCACAAATGGAACTTCCCTCATCCCAGAATTCTCCAATTCAAATGTCTCAAGCAAGTCTCATGACAGCCTGGTGGTACCCTGGTTACTCTTATACCCACATGACATATGCAGTTGAAACTTTTAAAACCCACTTTTTTTTTTCTTCTTTTTTTAAAATTTTGATTTGTACTGAAAAAAAATAACATGGAATATCCCAGTAACAAGTATTTGCACCAATCACACCTGCACTGCAGGATACTCCAAAGGGCTCCGAGCCCTGGCACTGTGCTACATCATGAGGGATAAATGATGGCCATTTTTAACAGCAAGGCAATTTGCTTCTTGTGTTTGTTCTCTTTCTAAAGCACAGCCCTGCCACAGTGGAGATGGAAGGAGTTGGCTGCAGAATAGCCTCAATTTGGATGCTGTTCCAGGTGGCCTGAAATGCCACTGCAGGTGGCCCAGCACTGAGCTCAGGGCCTGGTCTGGCTTTGCCTTGGAGATGAAAAACCTGTGCTGTTTGAAGGGGGGACTGGCCCTAATGCTCCTCCAACAATCCCCATGGTCTAAAATACTAAATTTATGTTATTGTTTAGTACCCGCACCTGCTTTACTTCATCTAATGTCAGCTGTTTCCCATAAACTTTTCACCAAGCCTTCCAACCTTCCTGTCTGAAGGGAAAATGGCACAGGATCACAGAATCAATGAAGGGTTTGGATTGCAAAGGACCTTAAAGATCATCTCGTTCCAACCCACTGCATGAAAAGACACTTTTTAATGCTCCTTTTTCCTCAAGCACTCCAAACTCTGCACCCTTCTTGTAGTTGCAGCCTTTTAACCTCACCAGCTGCTTTTTATCTGCTTTATTCATTTTGTCCTCACCCAAAAAAATCCCTGAGGAAGGAGTGAAGGTAAAAGAAGTGACCTAGGAAATTTTTATATAACTTCCTAAAGACAGTTTCCCCTGAATGGTTTGTCTTGGCTTAGACAGCTTTTCAGGCAGGTACAGGTTTAGGTTACAGAAATACATTTTTCATTCCTCCCAGGGCATAGAAAAGGAAGAAGGGAGATAATCAGGAAAAGCAAAGCCAATGTGGTTATCAGCCATATGGCTGATAACCACAGGGAAATTCAAATTAGTAAAAGTTTTTTTTTTACTACACAAAGTTTTCAAATTGCAGGAAAAGGATAAAATACTTCTTAACTGCAGTCATGCCCAAATTTTCAGAGCTGAACTGAACTTGAGGCTCAAGACAGAAGAGTATCTGCCTCATATTCCAATATATAATTGGAATTAGTGTTAGATCTAGACATCACCATGCACACTCCTCTCATGATATTCACTCTGATAACAGAAAGAAACACCCACTGGCTGACCTCCACTGAGCGGATAAAACAAAGATATTCTGACTTAGAACCTGACTTGGACTTCAGTTAGGGCTGGGGTTGTGTCTTCACACCAAAGCTCAGTGTGGTCACAAGGTGTTTTTCCAGCCCCTGCACACACATGTACCTTAGACTCTGCATTTTGGGCACGTGAATGTGATTGTGACACAACCTGGAATGGAGACTGGTTATCTTTAACAGCAGGTAGTTATCTCAATTAGTGGGGAAATCATGTGTCACTGCAAAACAAACACTGCAATTCTGGCAATGCCACCCTTCCTCTGAGCACTTCTGGAAAAACAAGTCCCTTGTACTCCACTTATACTTAATACTAATTAGGTAGAAGGAGCTGTTTTAGAGAGGAAAGTAAACTGAAAAGCAAAGGCACTATGTGGAAAGGAGAAACTATTCCTTTTTCAAATACTGCTTTGGTTTTCATTCCAGTTTGGAAGAGGTTTCTGCTCCCTGTGGATTTCCACAGGTGGATTCTACAGTGCATGTTGTGATTCCAGGCTCTCATGTAAGCCATGGAAAAGACCAGGTGAGTTTGGGAACTGGGTGGAAGCCTCCCAGTGGAACCCTTAGTGCATGAAGGTCTCTGTGAAAAGGTGAAGCTGTTTGAGTAAAAGACCAAGCACAAACTTGAGTGCTCTACTCATGCTTTATGTGGAGCTGAGTTTAGACCATGAAAACCTGCTTTAGGCCACCCTGGAGTTCCACTGGACAGCTTCCAACAAACACCAGCAGGACACCTGCAGTTCTCCATGGCTGAATAAAACTAAGATCTTTTAATGCACTGTCTTGTCCTAAGGGAGTTTTCTGGCTAATTTGTGACACGAAACTCCATTTTCCCACCTGCAAGACACCTGAGACTGCAGCAGATTTATTTACCTGAACCAGGTGTGCCTATCCTGGGAAAGCTGAGGAACAATCCCCTGGCTATGGAAACACTGGGTTCTCCTCCTGCAGCACAGCCTCGCGCTCGTGGCTCCCCAGCCCCGCTGCCCAGGGCACAGGGGTGGCTCCTGTCCTTCCTTGTACCACCTCATTTATGGGACCCAGGCCTGACAGAGCTGGGGAGGGACGTTGACAATGGGGTAAGACAAGGGGAATGCTGTGTGTCCAAGGCCCCCCATCCCCTCCAGAAGGGAATGTGGCCTGTGGAGAACCTGCTCCATGTCTGGGGGGGCAGAGCCACTGCTGCAAGTGGCCCACAGGCTGAGAGTGGAGGAATTTGTCTCCTTGAATACCTCAGTCCTCAAATGCCTTGGTAAAGAGTTTTGCTACTATGGGCAAACATGGACATAATTACTACTCGTTGAGTAAACCAAGCTGCTGCCTGCCCTCTCTCTGAGCAGGCTGAGTGTCACTATCACCCCGTTAAATTCCACTCCAGCAGTATAAATACTGATAAAAAAAGTGGCGATAGGACAAGACGAATGGCTTTGGACTGCCAGAGGGCAGGGCTGGATGGGATACTGGGAATGAGGAATTGTTCCCTGTGAGGGTGGGCAGGCCCTGGCCCAGGGTGCCCAGAGCAGCTGTGGCTGCCCCTGGATCCCTGGCAGTGCCCAAGGCCAGGCTGGGCAGGGCTGGGAGCAGCCTGGGACAGTGGAAGGTGTCCCTGCCATGGCAGGGGTGGGATGGGATGAGCTTTAAGGTCCCTTCCAGCACAAAACATTCCATGATTCTGTAAGTTAGATTCACTGAGGTTAGATTCAGGATAACCCAGAGCTGCCTCAATGTACCACCACTTCCTCAGTGTAGCTATTTTTCCCCTCTGGAAAACAGACACAGTGTTAATGCTCCGAGAGGGGCTGGTGGATCTGCAGTGCTGTAAGGGCCGTGGGAGCTGTGCTGTCCGCGACACCGGAGTGCCAGAGGCGCTGTGGAGAAAGACACGGGTCTGTCCCGTGTCCCGGTGGGAGCTGTCCCGGGTCTGTCCCGTGTCCCGGGTCTGTCCCTGGTCTGTCCCGGGTCTGTCCCGTGTCCCGTGTCCTGTGTCTGTCCCGGGTCTGGCCCGTGTCCCGGTGGGAGCTGTCCCGTGTCCCGGGTCTGTCCCGGGCGTGTCCCGTGTCTGTCCCGTGTCCCGGTTCTGTCCCGGGTCTGTCCCGTGTCCCGTTCCCGCTCCCACGCCCCTCCGGCCCCGCCCGCCCGGCCGGGCGGGGGTCGGGGCGGGCCCGGCCCCGGGACGGGGATCGGGGCGAGCAGGGGTCGGGACGGTCCTGGTGGCCGCGTTGGCGGTGCTCGGCTCGCTGCAGGTGGCCCGCGGCGCCGGGTGAGTGTCTGGGCACCGTGTGTCCGGGACGCGGCTGTGCCGGTGCCCTGAGGGGCTGGCGGAGCTGCCCGCGCACCGCGGCGGGTCACACCGGGGGCGCGGGACGAGCGGCCTGGGGTGTCAGCGGGGCCGTGCCCACCCCCAGCTCTCATCGGCCCGCCTTTGCGGCCTTGGGACACGCGGGTGTTGTCGTTGCAGGAGCCCCCGCGGCGAGCCCCCGCTGCAGCCGTACCCGCCCGGGCGGCACGGGCCGCGGCACGGCCACCGGCACGTCCGGGACTGCCAGCCCGTCAAGTACGGAAACGTCACGCACGAAGCGTGGCCCGGCGACAACAGCACGGCCGGCCCGGTGGCTGTCACCAGGACGTTCGTCTCGTACATCCACCCGGAGGGCAGCGGCCGCAAGGTGATCTACGGCCACTTCACTTTCGTGAGGAACCCCCTGAGCACCTTCTCCGTGCTGGAGCCCGGCGGCGCCGGCGGCTGCCTGGCTCAGCGCAGAGCCACTGTGGAGGAGACTGCCAAGCTCAGGAAGTGTCTGGTGGCCCAGAACGGCGGGTATTTTAACACGGAAACTGGAGAGTGCCTTGGGAATGTTGTGAGCGATGGGAGGCTGGTGAGAGACTCTGGGGGCCTGCAAAACGCTCAGTTTGGCATCCGGAAAGATGGCACCATGGTGTTCGGGTAAGAGCTGGGGGTGTTTGGAGAGTGATCTCTAGCCTGAAGATTTTCAGGCATCACTGGGCAGGAAGCTCATCCCAGCACTGCCTCCTTGGCCTCCCCAGTTAGAGCAGAAGCTCACTTGGAATGCTGAAGCTAGGGATGTTCTAGCTGTACCTGGTGGAGCTCTCTGTGGCCCTTGGCTCGTGTCCTAGGGTGCATAGAAGCTCAGTAGGTTATGATCTCTAGCTGCTTAGGCTCCAGTGTCTCCTCTCCCAGCTTGCAGTGGGGACACGGGTGGGCTAGAAGGGAAGAGGGCTCTGTTCCCCGCAGAGGAGACACAGAGTGGAGTGTGTGTGCTCTGGCTGCAGTACAGAAAGGCTGGCTTTGGAAGGGACCTCAGGGGGTGCCTCATCCAGCAGCCTGCTCAGCACAGGTTGGGTGGAGTGAGCTGCTCAGGGCCATGTCTGGTCGGATTTTGAACATCTCCAAGGATGGAGACTCCTCATCCTCTCTGGGCAAACCTGTGATTGACCATTTTAACACTTTCTTTGAACACTTTAAGGGTGGTGACTCCACCACTGCCCTGGACAGCTGTGCCACTGCCTGACCACCCTTCCCAAGAAGGAATTTTCCCAATATCCAACCTAAACATCCCCTGGCACAGCTTGGGGCCATTCCCTCTCATCCTGTCCCTGTTCCCTGAGAGCCCGACCCCCCTGGCTGTCCCCTCGTGGCAGGAGCTGTGCAGAGCCACAAGGCCCCCCCTGAGCCTCCTTTTCTCCAGGCTGAGCCCCTTTCCAGCTCGCTGAGCCCCTCCTGGTGCTCCAGCCCCTTCCCAGCTCTGTTCCCTTCCCTGGACACTGCAGCCCCTCAGTGTCCTTCCTGTCTTGAGGGGCCCAGGACAGGAGGTGCCTCAGCAGTGCCAGCACAGTGGATGGTCACTGCCCTGGCCCTGCTGGCCACACTGGGGCTGGTCCAGGCCAGACATCACTGACCTTCCTGCCCACCTGGGCATGCGACCCTCCCCAAGCAGATGGAGACAGAAATTCTAATCACCCTCTGATGAGGAATAACTGGCTGAGACTGTAGTGCTCTCTGGAGTACAAGGCCTCCAGGAGCTGCCCTTCCCCAGCAGCAGGAGGATCCTAAAATCCCAGAAGGGTCCCCAGGACCCTTCTGCTGGTCTCAGAAGATGCAGCAGCAGCCTGGAATTTGCATCCTCCACCCTTCTGGTAGCTCAGTCCCAGGCCTCAGGAAGGATTCCTGCAAAACCACATTGAATGTGCCAAGCCAGGGCTTTATCCTGCAGTAATTCTGGCTGTCCTGGGTACCATGGCTTGATTTATGTGAGAGAGGGGCTGGGTGGGTCAGTGACATGTCCTTCAGTGAGGGGGCTTCTCAATTTGACAGCACTTTCAGGGTTGCTGTTGATCCTTAAGCTCAGCTCTGCCCTGCTGCTCCCTGCCTCTGGCAGGCTGTCCCTGTTAAATGGAGCTATCGTGGTGTTTGGTGGCTTTGTGCCTTCCAGACCACAATCAGAAAAATAGTTTGGGTGTAAGTAACTTTGGCTGTCAGGACAGTGAGGAAAGTCGTTTACACCTTCACTCCTTCACCCTGCATCACTGCCAGCAGGACACAGCCCAGGGCACAGTTACCCCACCCTGCAAAGCTGCTGCTGCTCCCTGGGCTGACAGTGGGTGAATCCAGGCTTTAAAAACTGTCAGTCCCTGCCCAAACTGTTTTGTAGTTTGATCTACTTCCAGCCACGTTCATGTTGTCTTGGTGTTCCTTTCCCATGGGAAAAGGGAATTAGTTTTGCATGTTTTCCATTCAGGTGTTTGCAGTTACATCTTTCTACAAAGCACAAAGCTTTGTTTGCCTACAGTCATGGAAACCAAACAAAAGTTGAGTATCCAGCTCCCACATGACATCAGAAAAGTCACCTTTAAACCCAAAACCTCTGGCAGAGCACAGCTGTCCAGCCCTGATCTCATCCTGTCAGCTGCACCAGGCTCCCAGGGGGCAGGTGTTCCCAGTCACCCTAATTCAGGAGAGAGCAGTGTCCCTCAGGAAGCACCCTGTGGTCACACACAGCACCTGAGCACGGAGGTGGCAGGTGAACTGTCCTTTTGCTGTCTGCAGGAGCAGGGGAACCTTCCCAGATGGAAGGAGCAGGTGGCATCCAGTGCAGCTGCTGGGTGCTGTAGCTCCAAATGCTCTCCAGAGCTGTTTGGTGTCACATTTTTGGAGAATAGAAGCTGACAGGCAGCAAGATGTTACAGCTGCTTCCACAGATCCCTGAGTATTTGGCAGTGGCTCTGGCCTTGTGTTCTGCCAGATGCTTTCTGCTCTTGTTACCCTGGCTCAGATCCACTGGCCACACTGCTGCCATTGCTGGCCCCATTGTTTGAGGCACAGGGGCCTGGGACCATCGTTAGCTGTGGGTTTGTGCAGAAGAGCAGAGAGCAGGGGCTGCTCTGGCTGCTAAAGTGCTGTTTCACACTGCTTGGCCCCTGGTTTTGGATGTAGCTGTCCTTCATTCTACCTTTTCCTGCCCTTCTCCCTGCTTCAGGAGCCTGCTGGCAGCAGGAGAGGCTTTAAGGTGACGTGCAGTGACTGTGGGTAACCCTGGTGCCCTCTGTTCCCAGCTACCTGTCCGAGGAGGATGTCCTGGATCAGTCCAACCCCTTTGTGCAGCTCGTGAGTGGGGTGGTTTGGCTGCTGAGGGATGGAGAGGTGTACATCAACCAAAGCCGGGAGGCCGAGTGTGGTGACACTCAGAACACAGGTAATACTGGGGCTGGCTTCAGCCTGCCCCTGGGCTGCCCTTCCCTGGGACTCTGGGGAGAAGGGATGCTTAACAAGTCCAACGTCCATAGAATCATGGAATAGTTTGGGTTGGAAGGACCTTAAAGGCGATCTTACTCCACACCCCTGCCATGGGCAGGGACCTTCCACCATCCCAGGCTGCTCCAAGCCCCATCCAGCCTGGCCTTGGGCACTGCCAGGGATCCAGGGGCAGCCACAGCTTCTCTGGGTACCCTCTGCCAGGGCCTGCCCACCCTCACAGCCAAGAATTCCTGTCCTGTCTAACCAGAAGCTCAAAGCAGGTGCCTCTTACAGGAGTTTAAAGCCAAGGGATCGTGAATCCCCTGCTTTGTCCCTGTGCCAGACAAAAACTTCATCAAGAGCACTTCTGTAGAGCTTGGATGAATGAGAGGAGCCTGGGCTGTGGTCTCCCTGTGTTTCAGTTCAGATGAGGCCCTTGCTGGGAGCTCTTTGACAGACAGATGTGTCTTAGCAGCCCATTGCGTCCCTCAGCTGAGTGTGAATTGCTCCCTGTGCTGCAGGAACCTTCGACAAGTTCATCAACGTGATCTCAGCCAGGACTGCAGTGGGACACGACCGTCAGGGCCGGCTGGTCTTGGTTCACGTGGATGGACAGACAGAGTCCAGAGGGTAAGGGCTTGGTAAGGCCTTAAATTCCTGGGGCTGGAGGGGCTCTGCAGCTGTCAGGGACATGTTTTAAAGCAGAGACTTGCAGAGCTCAGGAGAGCCAGAAAAGGCTCACACAGCCCTCCTCAGGGTGCCTGGGATGGGAGAGCTTCCTCTTCCACCATGGCAAGCTTGTGATTGAGCAGCTTCACTGAAGGCAAATCAGCAAACAACCTCTGCTTTGCAGGGTCAACCTGTGGGAAATGGCAGAATTCCTGAAGCAGCAGGGAGTCGTCAACGCCATCAACCTGGATGGTGGAGGCTCTGCCACGCTGGTCCTGAACGGGACCCTGGCCAACTACCCCTCTGAGCACTGGTAGGTGCTGCTGGCTGCTGCCCAGGGCTGCCCGGGGCCCTGCAGCTCCTGTCAGCCTGCAGAGCCCACGGCCTGGCCTGGCAGGTGGCAGGATCTGTGGGAGAGAGCAGCTCTAGAATTTAAAGAGATTGAGTGACTCCATGTTTTTTCCACTTAGTCATCCAGGATTAAAGCTGAGCTGGTTCCAGACAGGCAGCAAAGCTGTGGCTGTGACTGAGTGGCTGATGTGGGAATTGGATAAGGCAGCAGCTCTTAGTCTGGGAGGTTCAGAGCTGCACATCCATGGGAATTAGCAGAGATCTGTCAGCAGCTTATTATTATGGAAGAGAAACACTGACTGGGAGACCCTGTCCTTCCTCACTGGAGGGAATCTAAAGAATATTTTGTTTTAAATTCAACTTTTTAGTCAGTTCTGACTGTAAACATGAAGGGATTTAACATTCAGTTGCCATAACTACAGTGATATAATTTATATCAAAGCAAATAACATTCAAGAAAATGTGTGCCAAAATGAGGGAATCTGGGACTGCTTTAAGGGGGACTGTGCTGCTTCTGTAATTCCATGTTTGAAATGATACCTGTCAGGTGGGATTTATAACTCAGTTAAAACGTTCACTCCAATGCAGTTTTACGTTTATATTTTCTCAGTATTAATGTTCATGTTTGGCAGTGTGGCTCAGGAGGAAGTCTCTGGGTTATGTGGCGGGTGTTGGTTGTTCCGGGCAGTGCAGGGTCAGCTCACGCTGTCCCCTCTGCTGTCCCCAGCTCCTTTGACAGCATGTGGCGCTGTCCCCGGAACATCTCCACCGTGGTGTGCGTGCACGAGCCGGGCTGTGACCCGCCCGACTGCAGCGGCCACGGGCTCTGCGTGGCCGGGCGCTGCCACTGCCACGGCCCCTTCTGGGCAGGGCCCGCCTGCGACAGCCTGGACTGCGGCCCTGCCAACTGCAGCCTGCGCGGCGTCTGCAGCGCCGGTGAGTGCCTGTGCCCGTGGCACCGAGGGGGCAGCAGCGGGGCAGGACCCGGCCCTGCATCCCGGGGAGATGGCCTGGGGGAATACGTGTGCCAGGAGCCAGCTGGGTGGGTGGGGCTGCTTCCCCTCCCTCCAGCATCCGAGGCACACATGGTCAGAGCAGCCGCAGGGCTGGGCTGGGGCTCGGGGCTGGAAACTTCAAGCTCTGTGCCTCAGTTTCCTTCTGTGCTCCAGGGTTGTGCTCTGGGTTTTCTGTGAGGCTGCTGATGGGCAGGGCTGTGTATTATGCTGTGTGACAGCAGCTGCTTCTGTCCCTTCCCCATGCTGTTCCTTCTTCACCTGCCTCTCTTACTTCATCATTTTTACAAGTGTGCAGTTGGTACTCTTCTATGAATCTGAATCTAGGGATTGCTGGAATGTCTGCCCTCAGCTTCTGCCCCTCTGTGCCCAACCCTGTTACCCTCTTGCTGTCCTCCTGACTCCACTCTCATTCAAGTGTGCCCAGTGAGTGGCTGGGCAGAGCTTGGTGGGTGCAGGTGTTGCCAGTAGCTGCCCCAGGAATGCCATCAGCAGGATTCTGCTGGGCAGGGGGGGTGTGAACCCACCCTTTGTGTGAGTGCAGGGTTCTTCTTCTGGCGGTTTGCTGGCAGGGGTAAGAGGGCAGCTCAGGAAGCAGAGGCTCCTAATTTCAAGTCCTTGCTGTTTGCAAGTGTGTTTTTGTTGTCAGTAATGCCTGCTCCATGTTTGCATAGCTGGATGCCTGTGTGACGCCGGCTGGACTGGCAGCAACTGCACTGAAGGTAAATACTGACTGCTGCTCCACTGCCTCTTCACAGCCAGGGAGAGGGCAGTGGGAGCCACGTTCCAACAGCTGCCTGCCCGAGGGGGGAGCAGGGAGGGGAAAGGCCACCCTGTGGGCTGGGCTGCTCTTTTCTGGCACTGTGAGTTTAATTGCAGCTGGAGCACCTACCTGGGCTTGGTGGGAGACACTCAAGGCCTTGCTCCTTGTTCAGGGCACACACTCAGCTTGCTGGAGCATCCCTCCACAGGGATGAGCTGTGGCTGTGCACAGGGCTTGCTCACCTCTGCTGCCAGGCCCTGGTGACACCTCTGCTTGTCTCCTGCAGCTTGTGCCCCTGGCTCCTTTGGGGAGTCCTGCAGCCAGAGGTGCCGGTGCCAGCACGGCAGCTCCTGTGACCCCGTGCACGGAGCCTGCTCCTGCCCTGCCGGCTTCTACGGCACCAGCTGTGAGCATGGTAAGGGTTCAGTGACCTCTGGGGCTGGGGACAGCGTTTTGTGTCACCTCTGAGCACCTCTTGGGTGCACTTCTGCCAGGGGAGCTCAGGCCTGAGCATCACCAGCTGGCTCCCAGCTCTTCTGGGCCTGCCTGTCCTACCCAAATGGGCTACAAAGGAGAGGAGGGAGCAGAGAGGAAAGGAGTTTGCTTCCTCAGTGAAAAATGGTGGATTCCTGTTTAGTCTCAGCCCCAAAGAATTGTGATCTTTTCCCAGAGCCCCTGAGCGAACACAAAACATCTTCTGCTCCAGGGTGTTACACCAGGCCCTGCTGAAGCCCAGGCCTCAGGTGATGCAGGTCAGTGCCCATGGAATGCTCCAGAGGGATGCTCCTGCCATCCCACCCTCACACTGCTTGTGCTGGGTGCGCTGCCTGGTGTAACCACTCCAGGTCCCCCTGTGTCTGAGTGAATGATTTAATTATATGGGGGTGTAATTAAATCAGCCAACTTTTTCTGTCAGTGATGCTCTGTTCCAGCCTGGGAACACTCAGCCAATCCTATCAGAAGGATGTTGCCCAGAGCTGTGGCTGCCCCTGCAAGTGTCCAATGGCAGGTTGTACAGGTCTTGGAGCATCCTGGGATAGTGGAAGATGTCCCTGCTCATTGCAGGGGGTGGAGCAAGATGAGCTCTAAAGTTCCTTTCAACTCAAACCATTCCATGATTCTGTGATCCCAGTTTTACATGAACTTCTCCCTGAAGCACACCAAAGAGCAGCCTTGAACTCCCAGCATGTGCTCCCAGGCTGCTGCAGGCTCAGCTGAGCTCAGGGAGCTGCAGCCACAGCCTGGGAGGTCTCAGAGCAGGTGGAGCTTTGGCAATGACCAGTCCCTTTGTGATTCCATCCCAGAGTGTCCCCTGGGCTGGTTTGGGCCGAGCTGCCGGAGCCGCTGTGCATGTGACCACTCGTGTCCCTGTGACCCTGAGACAGGCAGCTGCAACATCACCCTCCACGGGGCCCTGCAGGACCACTTGCACAGAGGTATGCCACTGCAGGGGGCTGGGCTTGAGGAAGAGCTGGGAGACAGCTTTAGTGCATAATGGTGTTTGCTTAGTCACCAGCTCTGCTTAACCTTGCTCTTTTTTAGTGGAATTTTACACCCTGCCCCACCTTTCATCCCTCTTTGTTTTCCAGCTGGACAGTGTTTGGCTTCCCAGGAAAAGAGCAAAGAAAAGTTCTCTCTGTCAGAGTAAGTGTTTGATGCTCACTCTGCATCTCAGAGGCTGCCACAGAGCATGGGGGGTGTTCAGTCTGCAGAAAGGGAGGCTCAGGAGGGACCTTGTTGCTCTGCACAACTCCCTGACAGGAGGGGGCAGCCGTGGGGGTCGGGCTCTGCTCCCAGGGAATGGGGACAGGACAGTAAGTGTTTGATGCTCACTCTGCATCTCAGAGGCTGCCACAGAGCATGGGGGGTGTTCAGTCTGCAGAAAGGGAGGCTCAGGAGGGACCTTGTTGCTCTGCACAACTCCCTGACAGGAGGGGGCAGCCGTGGGGGTCAGGCTCTGCTCCCAGGGAATGGGGACAGGATGAGAGGAAACAGCCTCGAGTTGTGCCAGGAGAGGTTTAGATTGGATATTAGGGAAATTGCTTCAGAAGGGTGGTCAGGTAGTGGCACAGGGTTGCCCAGGATGGTGGTAGAGTCCCCATCCCTGGAGGGATTTAGAAGCTGTGTCAGGAGAGGAAACAGCCTCGAGTTGTGCCAGGAGAGGTTTAGATTGGATATTAGGGAAATTGCTTCAGAAGGGTGGTCAGGTAGTGGCACAGGGTTGCCCAGGATGGTGGTAGAGTCCCCATCCCTGGAGGGATTTAGAAGCTGGGTCAATGTGGCACTGGGGGAGATGGGTTAGTGGTGACCTTGGCAGTTCTGGGAGGATGGTTGGACTCTGTGACCTTGGAGGGCTTTTCCAGCCTAAATGATTCTGTGGTTCTGTCCTTCCTGAGAGCAGGTTCACAGGCCTGGGAACACAGAGGAGGGAGGGCAATCCTCTGCAGCCTTGGGCACACAGGTGAGCTGTTGGTGATGTGATTTGTGTGTCCCACAGGAGCTGGTGGCTGTCCCTGAGCTGTGCCCTGGCCCTGCTGCTCGTGCTGAGTGCCCTGGGGAACGTGGGGCTGGTGCTGCAGGGCCGGCGGCAGCGGGACCGCGACTATCGCTACCACCCCCTGAGGGACATCAACGGGGACACCCCTCACAGCCCCACCCCTGCTGCCTGGGACCAGCACCATATCCAGGAGCCTGAGGACACTCAGGAGCCCGAGGACAGCCAGGACCCAAACCAGGAGTTCCTTTAGAATCATGGATAGGATGAGGTATTTCACCCTGCATTGCCCCTCAGCACTGACTGGGACTGGGGCTATGCCCATGGGGAACCTCAGCCCAAGGGCTGCCATGGTGAGGCTGTGGTTTCCTTTCCTCTGCTGCCCCAGCACCCAGGACTGCAGCATTAGGGGATGCAGGACATCCCCTGGATGAGGGAATTCCACAGCTGCAGCAGGAAAGGAGATGGGCTGGTTCCTTCCAGACCCTAAGGGAAACAGGTGAGGGATGTAAGTCACAGGCACCTCCAAAAGATCCCTGCTCACTGAGCAGTGCTTTTTAAGATGCTAGTTAAACTGCCTCTAATACAAAGCTGGGCTTAAGGGTATTAGTCAGTGTCTGCCCTTCCTTGCTGAGCTCAGATTTTAATCAGAAAAGTGACCAAAAGTTTGTTCTAAGATGTTGAAGCAGGTGCAGCACCCAGTGCCAGCAGAGCCCTCCTCTCCCAGCCGTGGTGGCAGCTCAGGGGTGACACATGGGGTGACACGCAGTCCTGCAGGGCTGGAGTGTTTTCTGACCAGTCCTCAGGCCAGAGCAGCCCCAGAGGGTGATGAGTGCTGTGTGTTGGGGCAGCTCCTGCAGCACAGCACCAAAAAAAGCCCTCTTGGGTCCCAGCTTCCATTTGTGCATCTCTCCAGCTCCCAGGAGCCAAAGGCTCTGCCCAGCTCCCTGGGCTGAGGGACCCTGGCATGGCACAGCCTGGAGCTGCCCCTGGGGAGGGACACAGACAGGGAGAGCTGGCATGGCTGGCATGGCACGGACTGGGCTGCCCTGCCCCAGCTGGGCACCCCTCAGAGGGACCAGCAAGGGCTCCAGCCCAGCCAGGATCCCCAGCACCTCTGGGAATCTGGGACACATCCTTGCACAGTTCCATTCAAACAGTGTTTGAGTTTGCTCCCCCGTGAGGGAAAGCAGCCTTGGACGAGCCCCTTGGATGCTGCAGAGGGGTGAGAGCCTGTCTGAGCCCCACACATCCTTATGCACTCACTCCCTTTTTACCTCTCCAAGTAAAAGATGTGTATTTTCTCTGCCAGTGTTGGCACCAAATCAGCCTGTAACCAAGAGACTATTTTTCTATGATTTACAGAAATTTATTTGAAACTTGAATAAAGTCTTTTAGTGCTACCTGCCTGAATCTCAGAATTTCTGATGTGCAGCTGCAGAAGGAGCTGATCCTTTCCCAGTTAACCTCAGCCACCCCCTGGAACCCAGGGGCTCTTTTATTTTTAATAACACCCACACTGCAGGATGTGCTGTTCCAGCCCACTCTGTGCTAGGAAATTAAACAAAATATGCTGGTTCTGTAGAAAAAAAGCCCAAACATTCTAGTTAAAAAGCAGGAAAAAGTGAATACAAGCATTACTTCTGCTTCTGGAGGCAAAGAGGAGAGCAGCACACAAACTTGAATTTTCACTGCCCTGCAATTTCAACAGTTGAATCAAACAATTCCACATGTACTCAGAGATGTTTTATTTCCCACCTACCCAAAAGTACAGCTCTACCAGGACACACAGACACCATCACAGGAGAACATCTGTTTGTTATTTCAGTGCCCTGCAGTGGGCTCTTACAGGAGGTTTGAGGATTTTGGCTGAGAAAAATGAGGATTTCAGTGTATAAAACCAAAGCCAGCTGCAAAAGAGAGAAAGTAAGTGCTGCTAAAAAACTTAATTAATGCCCATTTAACTTAGGTGTAAGTGAAATCTTGGAAGTGGGTGTTGGTGTCACTAAAAGCCAGCAAATGTGACTTGACTCCAATTTCACCTTCCAAGAGAGCAATAATCAGATGAAAGGAGCATCACAAAGGTGTTGGAGGAATATTAAAGCTAATTGCATGCAGGAATCTTTGACAGCTGCTGTCAAGTAAGTCTCTAATAGCTGTTCCCTTGCAGTAACTGCTCACAGTACAAACATTTGGGACATTAAAGCAGTGTGAGCTCACAAAATGCCTTTTGAAATGAGGGATTCCCTGCCTGGAGCAGGGTTGGCCTCAGCCCCAGCAGCTCCCCAGCCCCGTGTGCTGGGCAGCTGGGCTCCCCTCTTCCTACTGGGAACTGCCACTGGATTATGGCATTTCAAAATGTTCTGCCAAGAAACCACACTGGGATTACAAATTGGTATTCACAGTCCTAAAGGAACAGAACCGAGGTGGCTGAGCAGAGGAGCACAGCTGCATCTCTGTCACTCAGGATTCCCTGGTGTGCTCACCCTTGGGAATTCTGCTTCCAACAGCGAGTTCAGGAGCTGAGGAAGGACTGAGAGCTGCGGTGCCTCCCTGAGAGCCCCAGAGCCCAGGGGAGCTGCCCTGGCACGGCAGTGGTGACACCTGCGGGCTGGAGCCGCCCCCGGGGCTCAGCCCTCCTCCCCCAGCGGGGACAGAGCCCTTCCCACACCGGAGAGCAGCAAAACGTGGCTCAGGACTGCCCTGAACGACAGCCGAGCCACCCAACATCCAGCCCCAGGTCTGTGCTTGCCCTTCCAGCCCAGGACAGAGCCAGGGAATGGGGCAAACCTGGAGAACTCTGGCAATGGAGGTGTCACATGGAACTGCCAGGTCTGGCACAGCACCCTGCACTCCCTGCTGCACGGGACATGGCAGCAGCTCTGAGGTAGGTGTTGTGTTTGCATAGGGAAGATCTGGACCAGGGAGAGCCCCAATTGACTGGAAAGCAGTTTTTAACCAGCAGCTCCTTCCCTGCACACAGCCCGAGCTCACCAGCCTCACTGCTGGGGAGGGAGCAGGGAGGGCTTTGCTGCATCACCCCAAATGAGCCCATTGCCCAAGGGTCTGGCTTAGGAGATTTCTGAAGATCCACAATCCCTCCCAGACTCAGCTCACTGTGAAGAAAACTCTGAGTTTATTTTCTAAAGCACACTGATGTTGTTTGAGGGGGGAAAAGGTGATGTAGGAGAATTCTGTGTCTCTGGTACCTGCAGTTCACAAGGTAGGGTTAAGAAAGCACAGCACAGCATCCAGGCTGTTGCTCCCTTTCTCCTGTTAATATTCAGGAGAAAAAGGAAAAAAAAATTTAAATTGGTTTCAAAGTAAATTGTCAGGTGGGATAACTCATGCAGCCTTGCCAAGGAGAGGTCACAAGCTGCCTCACAAACCTGTGCATGACCTCTGATGGGCAGAGAGTGGCACTGCCAAGGGACAAGAGATAAAACTGGGATTGGAACATCCCCAGAGCCAGGAACACTGTGGAACCAGCCCTGACCTCACCCTTCAGAGATCTGCCAGGGGCCAAGCTCCAGGTGCTTCACTGACAAAAATCAAACTTCTGGTGGGCAGAAAACAGCATATCCCACACTTCAAAACAAAATTACAAAAAAACTCAAACAACCCCGGGCAAAGGAAGAGATTCTTACCCAGAGCTAACCCAGGGAACAGGAATGCTGCCACTGTAGGATGTGAGCAACCCTGTGAGAAGGGAAGGTAAAATCCTGAACCAGCACAGGGGGACAGGGCTGGGGCTTTGGGAGTCTGAAACTGTTTCTAGAATTAGATTTTATTCTGGTCAAGGATTTTCCATGAGGGGTACACATATGCACTTTTGCTTCTAGAATTCCTGACTTTCAGAGGAAAGGTGGGAATTACATTTACATTTGTCCCTCTTTATCAGACTCCAGTTATGCTGAAATGCCAGAGACAGAAGTTTCATTTGTCTGGGAGAATCATTAAAGTCTGTGGAACAACTGAGAATGGGAAATCAGAACTTCCCTGAGCTCTACATAACAAAGTAACCTGTTCACAGGGAGAGATGCAAGGTGCAGAGTGATTCCCTTGGCTCCAATCCTTAAAAAACCCCACCAAACAACTCAAAACCATGTCAAGCTCTTTGTCTCCCATTGTCCCAAATATTTTGGCTCTTTTCTCCTTTGGCAGAGCCTGGTACTTCAAAACCAGTGATTAAAAAAATCAGGGTGGGAAGGAACAACTTCACAGATTCCTGAATAAAAACGTGGTGAGTATTTGACACGTGCTCTCATTTCTTTTCACCTGGACAAGAACATGGATAACTTTGCTCCCCAGCCTGACTACAGAATAACCAGAGATGAGGGGCAAATGTGGCATTTTTGGTGTGTAGGAAGTTCATGATAACTCCTGAACTCAATCCTTGTTTCCTAATCCTAAAAAACAGTCTAAAAAAGCACTGGACTCTCACCTGTCCTTGCAAGGAAGGTGACACAAGCCCTTAGCCCAATGCAGCCCTTTTGCAAGAACATCCATTGATCACAAAGATCAGGACCCAAGCAGAAAGATTGCTTGGGATTGAAGACAATCAGTTATTCCTTTCTAAAACAAAGTTCATCCCATTAAAAAAGGTGACTGTATTTAATAAATAGTAATTTCTGACATAATAAGTTAAAAATTAATTTAAAATAAGCTAGTATAGAATAAATAGGCTTCAGTAAGTGCTTACATACATACATGCCTCTCTGAATGGTTTCAAGTGAGCTCATGTTTAAAAGAAGCAAGTTCTGTAATACTGCCAGAAAATCTTGTGCCTTCAGGAAATCAAATATTGCTTTTCTTAGCCCTTTAGGACTGGGTTCAGTTCCCATCCACTCGGGAATGGGACAGACCTGCTCATTATTGCTGTAAACCTGAGTAAAAAGAAACAATAGTTTGGAAGATGCCACTCACTGCAGGCAGATTCAATGCCTAGAATTTCTAAAAAAAACCATTTTGACTTTGTTTCTCAGCAGGGTTAAAAAAATCCAACACATTTCCCAGAGCATCCTGCCAGACCAGAGGAGGTTTTTGGTTTGGCCTGGAGGTGATTTCTGAACCCTCCTGCCTGTACCCAGGTGTTGGCAGTTCCTTCCAAGGCCCTGCCCCTGGCATGCCCACTTGACTGCCCCGTGTGGAAGCAGCACCCCGTGGGCAGCCAGGACATTCCCTCAGTTTTGCCACCCAGGAATTATCTAAAGGTCCAACAGGTAAGGCAACATCAGCCTCCTCTGCTGGAAAGGAACCCATGGGAAGAGCCCTTTGGAGGGGAGTAGATTCCTGCAAACTCACAGGCACCCAAAACCCACAGGTGGTGAAGGAGGCTACTGAGAAGCAGGCAGCTGACCCAAAACTCCTGAACCTGCCCTTGGAATTCCAGTTTTTGTGGTGGAAGCAGCCCCCAGGGCCTCTCTGTGTCCAAATGGCTGTGACTGCCCCACGGCCCAGGCCTGGAGCTCTTTGGTTTGGGGCTGGAGCAGCCCCAGGGTGCCCCTGCTGCTGGAGCCTTGGCTCTGCTATCTGGAGAGGTGGGAGCTGCTCTGGGACTGGCTGGAAGATGTGGTGACTCCACTCAGCTGGGAGAAGCCACTGGTGCAAGATTCCAGGCTGGACATGGATCCCCTGGCACGGGACAGAACAGAAGTGCTGTTAGCAAGGCTGCAGTTAAGGGATCCTCCCCTCTCTAACACTTGCACATGATTTTTGGCCCATCATGTCCCACTTGCTCTCTAAGAATCTCTTAGAGATTCATCATTGTCATGATGAAAAACTAATCAGTCAGAGACATTTTTTCCCATTTACAGATATTATTCCTTGTCTCTGACTATTGTTCTGGGGAAAGGGACACAGCTGGAGCCTCTGGGAGCTGTCCCTGAGGAGAAAGGAAAGCTCCAGAGCACTCCAAATGCAGTCTGGTGAACCCAAGGACCCTGGGCTGCTGAACACCAGAATCCAGCTCAGCATCTGCAGCTCCTCCTGCCAAAAGCAGGCTGGCTCAGGAAGAGCCCCAAGGAAGAGCATGACTGCAGGGAGGCATTTCTGCTGCTCTGAGCCCACAGGACCAGGCCAGCTCACACCTCGAGCTGCCACCTTCAGGTCTGCCCTGCCCAACGCCTCCTCCAGCTCCAGGGAAGGGCCAAGGACCTGCACAGAGCTCAGATTTACAGGAGATGGGGAGAGCTGCTTCTGCCATTGAAAGGGGCCAGGCACACCCTGCCAAGGCTGGCTGTTCACCTGTTCAGAAATGCTCATCCATCTCAAGTGCAAAAAAACCCATTTGGGAAATAGCCCAGCTGATATTGAAATCACTCCAAAAGCAGCTTCTCAAAATATTCTCAACTAAGTTACAAACCCTCTTGAGTCAAAAATCTCCTGCTCTTCAGCCAAGCAAGACCCAAAGCACAAATTTCACTGGTGCACACAGATTCAAGGAAACTTTTAAATATCTACAGCACCAGAAGAGACTGGTTGCACAAAATGCCACCAATTCTGTGTCCATGCACTTGTCAGTGAAACACGTCCCCTGTGGGGGTCTCTGATATCCAAGTGTTTAACTCACACTCGTAGTAAACCCCTTGTAAATGCCCTACCTGAAGTCCTTGGAAGCCAGCACCTCGTAGTAGTAGATGAGCTTGCACTTGTGGCTGGAGCCCTGCAGGGAGGCCAGGACATCGTCCACACGGGGCAGGCTGGAGCTGGAGCAGGGCAGGGGCCCGTGCATCCTCCACTGCAGGATGTAAAAGCCAGGCCAGCGAGTGACATGGGAGCCCTGCAGGGAGGGAGGGACAGCAGTGACCACGGGTGGCTGGGGGAATGGCTGAGTGACCCAGCACAGGTGTCATTCACCTGTCCACCTCCCCGAGACACAGCCCTGTAGCCCCAGAAGGGAAAAAGAAAAGAAAAAAAAAAACTTATTTAGGTTAATTTCCATAAGAATTTAAGAATTTTAGCTTGGAGTCTCTTTCCAATGACTCACTCTAAATAAGGATTTCCCACTTTCAAAGGGTATCCAGAAAATGATCACAGACTGGTTTGAGTGGGAATTAAAGCTCATCCCATTCCATGGACAGCTCTGCAGGTGGGGTCTCACCTGAGGGGGCAGAATCCCCCCTCCTGCTGCTGGGAATGACCACAGCCCCCCTTTCTAGCAGTTCCTGACTTCCCACACCATCAATTCCCTCCCTACCACTCCCCTTTGAGCTGGCAGGACCCCAAAGCCATGGCAGGACCCCAAGCCCTCTGACCTGGATGCTCTCTCCTTCCCTGCAGACCAGGGGAGATTCCACCCGGCTGTAATCCACCCCCAGCACCCAGGTCTTGTCAATGAGCTGCACATTGTCCCCTGCCCCAGAGGGACTTGGTGATGTGGCTTCTTTGTGACTTGGCTCAGGAGCTCGTTTGGAGTGGAAGAGGCTGAAGACCACATCTCCCTTCAGGATGTCAAAGTCCCAGGTGATGACAGATTCCCCTTCCAGGATCTCCACGAGTATCTAAGAAAGGAACAGAACAAGCCCCTTGCAGGGTCAGGTGCTCAGGTGGCAGCAGTGTGCTCCTCCCACTCTGGGGAAACAGACCTGGCTCCACAATCCTTCAGCTGGCTGATGGTCTTGGTGTGTGTCCCCCTCAGGAATCAACTCCCACTCCCAACCCCCCCACAGTACACCCACTCAGCTGTGAGTGAGTTACTTGTTCCAGGAAAACCTCAGTGGAACTGAGGCACAAAGAGCCAAATCAGAGTCACCCCCCAGCAGAGAGGCCAGAAGACTGATTTGACACTGATTTGCTCCTTTTTGGGACATCCTGGTTCCTGATGACTCCCATCAAGCAGTTCCCAGCACACACCTTCCTTTATCACCCCATTACTGTCCCAGCTACACGGCTGGGAGTGGGAGCTGAACTATCACAAGAGAAACTCAGTGCCCTTTCTTTCTCCCAAGAGAGGGATGAGGGGGAGGAGGAAGAGACTGGACCTTCCAGAAGAACAGACCACAGCAGAGATAGGAGACACTGCTGCTCAAAGTGCTGCTCCTCACTCCCACACGTGCAGCTGCTCCCTTGCAGAACAGCAGCTGCTGCTCCCTGTGCTGGGAGCCCTCGGCTGCTCCAGGCAGCCCCAGCAGAGGGGACACGTGTCACTGTGGCAGCACCCCAAGCTGAGCTCTGTACCTCGTGTGGGGCTCCTCTGAGGACACTTGCAGAGTGGTAGATGGTTTCTGTCCACAGGCGGATGTGATCCGAGTTCTCCTGCTCGTCCTCGGTCTGGTACAGGGACTTGGGCACGAGCCCCCCTTCTGAGACAGTGCACTGCAGGGGCCAGACACACAAACAGGAGCTCAGGAGGTTCCAGCAGTGAACCAGGAACTCTTGCTGGCTGTCAGACACGGGCTGACCCCTCAGCTGAGCCAGAACTGCACAGTGGCTCTGAGCTCCCTGCAGAGAGCTGCCCTCTGACCCTGCTCCAGGATCCCAGGGCAGCACCAGCACTGCAGGGCAGCTCTCTGTGCCCAAATCAACTGCCCTGTGCCCACAGCACGGGCACACTGGCCAGCACAGAGGCTTAACCCCTTCCAGAAGGCAGTGGAAGGTGGTGAGGGAGAGGGAGGCAGTTCCAGATTGTACCTGCACAAGGGGAAGGAAAACCCACCATGCAGTCTCCTCCCAGGAAGTCTGGGATCACATCCTTGTCCACATAGTCCACCAGCCCTCCTGAGCCCTGGTAGTTATTGCCACTGTAGATGAGGAACTTCTGCCTTGTGTTCTCATTGATAAAGGGGCTGACCTGAAGGACAAAGGGCACACAGGACATGGCTGTCACTGAGGGCAGCTGGAGACCCTGTCTGAGCCATCTCATGATGCTTCAGGCTCTAGCCTGGAATGTCTCAGCAGTGTGCAGAGCTTCACAGCTCTGAGGCACTTCCCAAAGAGAGGGATAACAAACTGAAAATGTTCTTTCTCTCTCTATCACCATCTCACAACACTTTGTGCTTTATGTAAAGGAAGTCTGCAGTCACTGCCTCACCCACAAACCTCACAAGAAATGTAACAACCAAGTTCTCACACTGCCAGAGCAGTCAGCAGACACCAGATTTATTATTTACTACCTATTATTACTACTTACTACCCTTCAGTGTCCTAATGAAATGAAAAGGTATCTGTCTTTCCCACCAACTTTGGGTGGAATGGGCAGGTCCAATCCAGGTTTCTCATCCTGTCCTGGTGGATGGCAGTCACCAGAACCCAGTGAGCTACAGGCTCCCCATGGCCTGGTTCTGCTGTGGCTCCTCAGGAGCTCCCCACAAGCTGCCTGGAGATTCTCCCCCCTGCCTCTGCTGATGGAGCTGTCTGTGGACCTGCACAAGTGGCAGTGACCCTGCAGAGCCCAGGTTTCACCCACCAGGGTCCAGAGCACAGGGAAGACCCGTGGTGCCCTCACGATCAGGAGCCTCCCCAGGGTCTCAGGGTAGTTGTCCTCCACCACCTCAATGATCCTGAGCAGGGCCTTCACCCCAGGCCGCCAGAGGTGCCTCATATTGAGCCCTTCCAAGTCCACCAGGCACGTCCAGGATCTGAAATAAACAGAAAAAGACCTGTCAGAACTCTGGAGTGTGGTGGCAGCTCAGTTTAGGATCCACAGTAACCCCACAGCCTGTGCAGGATCCGGGAAACCAAAAAGGGCCAAAGCAATTCCAATAAAAGCACATCTCCACTCAGGCAGCAGACACCTGAACCCAGGTGAGCTCCAGGTAACACAGACACCCAACCCCAAGGGCAGGAACATCTGTCACTCCAGAAGGTGAAGGTATGCAGGCCTATTGCTAAAAAGAATGTAAAAATGTCTTTTAAATTAAAGTGGAATCTGGCAGACAGGCTCCTGTATTAAAAAATTTCAATGACGTGGATCAAAATCACCAAGACAGAAAGATTAAATTAATCTGAGATGGGATATGAAAATTATGTAAGGAAGGATCAATACTTGCTTTTCAACAAAACTGCAGGATTTGTCTGCATTTAAGTCAAACAAATAAATTTTTATATATCTGTGGTCCCCATCCAGCTGTCTGCAGTGCAACCCTAAGGACATCACCCCAAACCACAGCAGCATCCTTCACCATGGCACTGAGAGTCTGCAAGGGCTCAGGAAAACCAGTTCTAAACCAAAGACACTGACGTGATGGGCCGGCCGAAAATGTTGGTGTTTTCCTCACATCTCTTCTGTCCTTCCTCATTAATGGACAGAACCTGCAATCACAGACAGCACAGACAGGGATTAGCCAGAGAATGGCTGAGTAGCCAGGATGGCCTGGAGATGTTATTTTAAAAAATACAAAAAGCAGAGGGCAGGGTTAGAGGGGATACTGGGAAGGAATTGTTCCCTGTGAGGGTGGGCAGGCCCTGGCACAGGGTGCCCAGAGCAGCTGTGGCTGCCCCTGGATCCCTGGCAGTGCCCAAGGCCAGGCTGGGCAGGGCTTGGAGCAGCCTGGGACAGTGGAAGGTGTCCCTGCCCATGGCAGGGGGTGGGACGGGATGAGCTTTGAGGTCCCTTCCCATCCAAACCATTCCAGGATTCCTGATGCACCATGACAAGACCTCCCAGCACCCTGAGGGGAAGAGGTGACACACAGGGCACAGCTCACATGTCGCAGCAGGGATTCCTCTCCCAGGGCCTTCACCAAACCCTTGGTGTCCATCTGGCCGAGGCGCAGGATGTAGAGCGGCCGCCCATCTTCAAAACAGAGGGGTCAGAGAGGGCAGCACTTCAGTCTCCAGGCTGTCACTCCCATACCCTTTTTAAAAGCCACATTAAATATTTGAAAAGGATAAAAATCTCTGCTAAAAGCAACCTGTTCAGAGAAATTGCTTTGCACTGACTGGTCTGTGCAGAGGGAATACAATTAGAGGGAAGCAGAGTGGCTGCTCACAGGCACTGAACTGCTTTGTTAACTTTAAAAACAACAATGCAGCTTTCCTCACCATCCCAGACCACCGGTGAGGTGCCAGGGGCAGCTCCTCACCTTTGTCCTGGTAGTGCCACCCCCCAGTGTAGTACTCCTGCAGCAGGGCCGGGGGTCTCCAGGACTGCAGGATGAAATCCACCTGGTACTGCTTGCGCCAGGCCAGCGACTGGCACAGCATCTCCCGCGCTTTGTCCATGTTGAAGTCGCGGGCGCGCAGGAAGCGCAGGATGTGCTCGTCCTTGGGGATCTGCCAGGAGAGAGCCCAGCATCAGCACTGGAATGCTCCTCGGGCCTGCACAGGAGGCTGCAGCTTTGACACCATTTTGAATCTCTTCAAACTAAGACAGCAAACATTAAATTTCCCTTCCGCCTCCCTCCCTCGGCAGCTGAGCCAGCTGGCAGCAGCAGAGGGTGCCAGGAGCACAAAAGCAGGGAGCAGCTCACTGACTGTGGGAAGCCCTTCCCCAGTGCAATTCCCAGCAAACCCCAGGCTGGTTGATGTTTCCCTTGACTGGTTATCCACAAGGACCTCCAAAATACTGTGTGAAAATCAGGGAGGTGCAAGTCCACCCGCCCAGGGCAAATCAGCACAGGATGGCAACAGGTAACAAACAGCCACAGGTAACACACTGACCACACCAGGCACTGGAGGGAATCACAACTGTGCAGTCTGAATGATGCCACCAGTCCCAGTTCCAGCTTTTGTGCAGGCCCTGCTGCTAGTGCTTGAACAGGAAAGCTGCTGAGTGCTTCAAAGGCTTCCCTGCCCCATTACACCACAATAACTCTTGATCCAAATCAACCCTCTCCCAATCACTCACCCCAGCACTAGCACTAATCCTAACATCACAGGCACAAAAGCCTTCCAAAGCAAGTCTGCAGAAAGGCTTATTCCAACCTCCTTCCAGATCTGCCATGTTCTCTTTAGCTGCAGAATCAAAGAAAGCTTGGCAGGAGTGCCAAGCAGCAGGAATTAACAACGAACCTGATGGATTCCACAGAAGTGCCAAATCTGACTAAGAGCCTGTCAGCTGCAAATCCAACTGGATTAGAGCTGCATGTGCTGCTGGGTTCACAGCCCCTCACTCCAGCTTCTCCAAAAGTGCTTGGCCTCATTCTCTACAAGTTTCCATAAAAAATTCCAGCTCTGTGGAGGAGGGATTGTCTCTTCCAGAGTCTCCATGTTGTGTTAGCACAACCCAAGCACTCCCAGCCCTGCTGGGACACAAATCCCCATGGTCAGGAGTCAAAGCTCCTTTGTTTGTGCACAGCCATGCTCAGGGAAACAGAAAGCTGGGTAGAAAGCAAGGCTGGCAGCTGTGTCAGGAGGGAGCAATCCTGGATTCACAAGCAAGAGATGGTAAGAACTGGCTCACCTAAAGAAGAGTTGAGGCAGCCTAAATGAATCCTAAAGCACCTTAGGAGCAGGGGGGAGACTAACATTGGTTCTGACACTGCATCTGTGTGTCCTGGAAAGGAGAGGGCAGCCTTCCCAAAGGTGATCTCGAGAGTACTTAGAGGAATTCAGTATGACAGCAAGTTTAAAGCCAGCAGAGCATTCATCAGATAATTCAGGTTTGTGTTGCTGCTGCTCAGAGGCAGCTGTCACTCATCACACCCAGCCCAGACACCCACAACAGCTCCTGCATCTCTGCAGGAGAGGGGATGGCTGCTGGAAGGTTTGATAATTTCCCTGTTTCAAACCTCCCCTGTGCACAGCTCCAGGCAAGAGGCAAATCCAACACTTCTGTTTGGACCAAAGGCAGGAAGCTCCAAGACTTATTCCACAGCAGAATTAGTCTTTTATCCTTGTCCAACCAAAGCAGTAACTCCCACATGCACGAAAACGAAGGTTTAATTTCAGCCTGCTTTTGTATTCCCTGGTAAAACTGCTGCACTCTCCTGCATGGTGCAAAGCCTTCAACAGAGCTTTAAGTTGCTGCAATTTTAACACCATTTACAGTTTGTTCCTTTAACTCCTCAGATTTTTTAAGCAACAACATATCTGATTGTAAAGGTAATGTCTGCTTTGGAAGGAATGGGGAAAAGATAGTGAAATAGGACAGAGGACAAAAATAAGAAGGACCATTTTCCAAGAAACAGGAGATCTATTTTTTGATAATTTCTGACAGAGGAATAAGGCCATCCCTGCTCTGAATTAAAAGAACAGATTGTCACAGCAAGGTAAGAGCCTCTCCAGGGACAAGCCCAGCCTTGCAGGACAAGCTCCTGATTTTGGCCTGCTCTGTCAGGAAATCAGGAGAAGCAGCTGAGCAGTCAGGGGGGTCAAGATGAAGTTTCAGTAGCCAGCACCTCCCTTCCTGTGTGCCCACGTCCTCCTGGGGACAAGGCCCAGCAAGGCCACCCAAAGGCCTGAGGCAGCTCCACTGTCCCCAGAGCTCAGGATTGAGCTGCACTTGCCAAGCTCCCAGCACAGCTCAGGGGACAAGGGCTGCCTCTCCCTGCACAGCTCCAAGCCCCAGGGGCAGCTGCTCCACATTTTGCTTATGTGCTCTCACTTTTTCCTTCTCCAGCTTGATTGCCCAGCCTCTGACATGGAGGGGGAGAACCAGCCTGTGGGTTGATACTTTTCAACCTAAACAAAGGTTTGGGTGGTGCCTGTTCCAGCTGAAAGCAGGATCCTTGCAGGTCACACCAGGGACAAAGCCCCCCTGCCTTTGGGATGTCCTCCCACCCAGGACCCTCTAGGTGAGATATCTCCTACCCCACTGGAGCCCACACCACCTCACTGCTCAGGCCTCCATGAAAAGCCTCCTGTCCTCTCTGAGAGCACAGTCCCACCTGGGACTGATCCCTGCCTGTGCAGTGCCTCTCACCTGACTGGAGGCTGGATCACAGGCAGACAGACCAAAAGCAGCTTCCAGCAGAGCCCCTTTTCTTGGTGAAGCTGCTCCTGCTCACACAGCTCCCTCACCACCCCTGGCTGGCTGGGAGCCCAGCCCCAGCTCCTTCCTCAGGGCCATCACAGTGACACAAGAGCAGCTGCCAGGGAGGTGTCACAGCCCTCCAAGGGGCCCTTTGCTACATCAGGTGTGTATATATACAATATATTATATATCACACATATATTTCTGTAGCCTCTACCTGCCTCCAGCAGCCCCACCCTTCTGGTCCAAGCTATCCAGGCTGCTGTTGATGCCACTGTACACCAGTGGCTTTGGCCAGCCCTGGCAGGTGTTTGGGGGTGGAAATTTATCAGCTCTTACAATTCAGCAGCAGTGTTGGAGTCTGGAGCTCATCAGCTGCTGGGAGCCTCTCACACTGCCCCAACACCTCCTGTTCTCTTCAGTCTGAGGTTTGCTGGGAGCTGTTTTTCCATCCACATTCCTGGGTACCAACAATACCCATGTGCCTGCTCACACACAAGGGAACTTCAGGAGTTCAACAGCAGCAGAACAATAGCACTAAATCTTTGTTACATTTTATTTCTACAGAGGTGATTCACATTCACTTTACCAAGAAAAAACAGCATTTTAAATCATGTTCAGACTCCCTGGACTCAGATGAGACATGCTCAGCTCTGAGACATACAGCACAGCACGCAGGACTGGCAAAGCTCCTTGTAAGCAGCAGTCTTTTTTGGAAAGGCCAGGTAAAGAAAAGAGAATGAAAATCTTCCCAAACCCAGGAATGCAGAGTACCTGACCTAACCCATCCTGACTGACTGAGCTGATTCCTTCTAAGCCAGGAAGCTTTTACTGTTGAAACCTCATCCAGCTGTTCCCTGCTTCCAAGCAGGATCACCTGCTCCTCTTGCTAAGCACCCTTTATCTACTCAGCCCACCCAACTACTCTGGTGCTATCCTTGGTCCTTTTTTCCTTCCCTCCTAATCCCTCTCCATCAAGAAATCTGGAGTTGAACCCCTCTTGAAGCATTCAAGCTGCTCTAGACCCTTTCTTCTCCCAGCCACATATTAGTTACCCTGCTGGTCTGACAGAGACTTTATTTAACCAAAAGGAGCCCAGGACATTCCAGCAGAGCAGAGACACACCTGTCCCTCAGTGCCTGTGCTGCTTCTCAGGAAAAAAATCAGAGAACCATGGAATTTCCTTGAGCAGGAAGGGACCCACAAGGATCATCCAGTCTGACCCCTGGCCCTGCACAGACACCCCAACAATCCCACCCTGGGCATCCCTGGCAGTGCTGTCCAAACACTCCTGGAGCTCTGGCAGCCTCGGGGCTGTGCCCATTCCCTGGGGAGCCTGGGCAGTGCCCAGCTGAGGGAAGAACCTTTCCTGATATCCAACCCAAACCTGCCCTGGCACAGCTCCAGCCATTTCCTGTCCCTGGTCACAGAGCAGAGATTGGAGCTGCTCCCTGGGAGGAGTTGCAGCCCCGGGGAGCTCTGTGCTCCATCTCTTCTCCTCCAGCTGAACAAACCAAGTGTCCTCAGCTGCTCCTCCTATGGCTTCCCCTTGAGACCCTTGTCCACCCTCAAGTCCACCCTTTGGACACTTTCTGACAGCTTTAGATCCTTCTGATACTGTGGTGTCCAGCACTAGAGGTGAGGCCACTGTGGCACAGAGCAGAGCAGGGCAGTGCCTGCAGGTCACGGTGACCCTTTGGGCTGCCAGGGCTGACTCATGCTCAGCTCAACCAGGACCAGGGCCCCATGCCATTTCCTGTGGCGTCACACTCCAGCCTCTCACTCCCCAGTGTGTTTGTGCAGCCAGGGTTCCCCATCGCAGCTGGGGACCCCCTGGGTGCCCCTCAGGGGCTGCCCTACCCACCTTTCCCTTGTGAGTCTCCTGGAGCCACTGGCGCAGGCGGATCAGGCAGCTCTCCTGCATCGGGCTGAGCTGGCCCAGGTAGCGCTCGATGTAGTCAGCGTCCAGCTTGTCAGCTGCAGGGGAAACAAGAGCTCAGAGCAGCCTGCCACAGCCTGCAGGGAGGGCAGCAGGCGATTCCACACACTGGGCTGCCTGTGATTTACAGGGGATTTGCTCAGAAGCCTCATCCCAGCAGCCTGAGGGAGGGAGGGAGGGAGGGAGGGAGGGAGGGACACTCTCCTGGTGACTGCGGCACGAGGCCACAGGCAGCACGTGCTGCATCACAGCTGGATCACTCCACCTGGCTCTGGAACACCTATATTCCATTCAGCTCTGAATTGCTCCAGGAGGTGCTTTAAAAGATCTGGCATGAGTTCTGGCACTCAGCTCAACAAGTACTCCAAGGTCTGGGCATTTCCATCTCCACGTGTCCTAAATCTCATGCACAACTGCAGTGACAAGTGGCTTGCTGGAAAACCAAGCCATTATTCTGCCCAGGGACACCAGAGACTAAGGAGAACAACAGCACATTTCTGACAGCCAGGCAGGATTTTGGCAGGAGGAGAAGTCCTCTGCACACCAAGCAGCTCAATGCCCCTCCAGCTCAGAGACAAAGGACAAGGGGTTGGTGACTGCCAGCACCGAGGGACAGGGGGACATGTCACCCAGGGCTGGCAGCTGCCAGCCAGCAGAACAGGGCAGCTGGGGGAGCAGCCCAGGCAGAAGCTGGGGTGGAAGACACAGGGAGCAGGGCTGGGGACACCTCAGAGCTGGCTCTCTGTCAGGCACCAGGTTCCAGTAGATGCCACCTACAGAAGGAGGCCTGGACACCCACAGGATAAGCAGGATAACAGAGAAATTGTATTTGGAAGTGAGACATCCCATGGAACCCCCAGAGCTAGCTAGGTGGGGAGCAGGCCCAGGGAAGCTAATTCTGTCCTGAGCAGGAATATGGGCAGAAAAAGAAGGGCTACTCTCCTCTTCTGCTGGCTGGGACCCACCACTCTGAGGACAACATTAATCTCAAAAATTTCCCCTAATCAGCTTCTCTGTGGATTCCTATCTTTCTCCAGTAAAGCTCCCAGAGAATGTCAGGTGAGAGCAGAACTACTGATATCTCCAAATTCCAGGTTTTTTGCCCAGTTACACTCAGCAAAACAAGTGCTGCCTTTCCTTCTCAGGAATGACAACAACTGTTTCTATTACAACAGCTCTGGATACAAAGGTCCCTCCTATTTCTTTTTGCCAGAGAAGTATTTTATTTAGTCTAGAAAATATCACCAGACCAACACACGGAAAGATAAAGTTTGATTCAGGCATTTTGTGGGAAAAATGCCTCAGGAGACACTCCTCAAGTTTGTCTTGGCCTGATACAGGGCCAAAAACCATCCAAACCTGTCCCCAAGAATACTAATTATGGAACAGACAAAATATTTAATTCCAGCATACTGAAGACCTTAAAGGGCTCATCAAACCTATTTTTTTTTCCTAAGCTCCAAAACATACTGCCTGCAGAGCTTTTTTGTTTTAGGGGAAAAAAAAGTTCCACTGTTTATTTTCCTTGAAAAAAAGAAAACAGCTTTCCCTCCTCCTCCTCCCCCACACTCCAGATGAAAAACCTGACGGCAGGATAAATGAAAACAAGCTCCGTGGTCGGTGCTGCAGTGCCTACCGTCAGGGCTGGCGGCCTCGGGGGGCGGGCAGGGGCTGGCAGGCTCCCTGCTGCTGCTGCCGGCAGCGCCGGGCTCCAGCGGGGCCGGGGCTCGCTCCTCCTCCGCCCCGGGAGGGCTCCAGCGCGGGATGAACGTGATCCCCTGCGAGATCAGCTCCTTCAGGTAGTGCTCAATCACCTCCTTGCCCTGAAGGGGAAAACTCTCATTAGGAAAAAGCCTCGTCCAGAGCCAGCAAGGCACTGGAGTTTCCTCAGCACAGATGATGAATGCTGCTAGGGATAAACAGAGGGGAAATCTCTCCTTCCATCCCCATGATGCTGTCAAAAAACCTCCAGTATCAAAGCCCCCTGTGAATGATGAATTACACTAACGGCCAGGCAAATCCCAGTTGTGGATGCAGCTGCCTTTCTAACACTTTTACCCCCTCCTCCTGCTCCCAAACCCAATTAGCTGCCCTGTTCCTCTGCAGCCCAGAGCCACTGTCCCAAGCCCTACCTCTGGAGACACAGGGGGTGATTTTCCCCAAGAACCTTCCCTTCCTGCACAAGAAGAGTGTCCCCAGTGCCCAGCAGCCCTGCACTCACAGCACCCAGTGCTCCTCTGGCACAGCCTGCTCCATCCCTGCACAGCCACACTCCAGCCAGCTCTGTTCTGTGCTCTTTGCACACTGGCTTTGCCTTCCTTTGCCCAGCCACAAGCAAGGGCACAAAACTCCACTGGGTGTGTTTACAGCAAGGCAAAGAGAGGGCCTGGGGTGTCCAGGCAGCCAGGGAAGCCCACCTTACCCGTTTGATGTTGGAGGTGTACTGCTTCATGGCAATTTTTTCCACGGTGCTTTCAAAGCCAAAGAAGGATTTGATGTCAAGAGAGGCTGACTGCTCAAAGCAGGTCCAGTCCTCATTCTCGGGGTGAACCTGCAGCCAGGGGAACACAACACACAGGAGGGATGGGGGCAGGTGGCTCATGGCCCTGGCACCACACTGGCTGTTCGACCTCCACAGCCACAGAGAGGGGGCAGAGGGGCACTGCCACACCTGCAGTGGCCAGCCAGGTTCATTCCTTTGTCAGAGCCCTTTGAGAACAGGACAGCCAGACTTTTGCTAACCCAGCATTCTTCACATGCACAAGGAAATCCAGATTTAAATCCATCCCTGCCCCAGCAGACCTGAACTGTAGTAGCAAAAGCTGCACAAAAACAGCAGTGGAACTGCCCACTTCAAGCCATCGTGTCAAGGTCTCCTTATGGAAAGACAGGGATGGCCTTGTGGAACATGCAATTAAAACTCCTACACCTGTAAAGAAGAAAAATGCAAACCAGGTTTCTTTTTTAGTTTTGGATGGGAGACTCAGCTTCTCCCCAAACCACTGGGGACATGGCAGAGCAGGGAGCTTCCCCACTCTTCAGCTCAACACACGCCTTTCCCTTATTTCCCCTCTGTATGGTAGAATCCATCCCTCTTTTCAACTTAACCCTTTCCTGAGAAGGCTCTGCCTTCTCTCTGCAGGTGCTGCTGTTCACAAACTGACAGGAAAGAAAAACAACTCCAGCCCCCACACAAAGATATCATGAAAGACAAATTCCCTGGGGAGATATTAAGTAACTGCAGGAGCAGGATCATATTTCTCCAAGTTGCCTCAGAGAACGCTGCAGAAAAGGAAAGATGAGAATAAACCTGCTTCCGGTGCACTCTGGCAGGGAAAAGGGAACTGGTAAAAATAGAGCAGGGAACCATCTTGAGGATGCAGCCAGCAGCTCCCACCCTGTTCCCCTCACAGCCCAGATACTGACGTTTCCTTCCTAAGAACACAGCCAAAATCAGCAAGTGTAGCAATCTCAGAGTTGACCTGGGAGCATTTCAGACCTGTCAGTGCCTTTGATGATGATGGAAGTTTGATTTACAGCAGTTTTTAGGAAGCCTCAGGCAGCCACCAAGGGATCTCTGCCCAGGAACACCCTCACCATCCAAAATGTTCACAGCTTATCCACTCCTCCTCTTCCTGAAGCTCCTCACAGCCTGCTTACTCCCAAGAAGCTGAGCTGCTGTCCAGCTGCCAAAAGGGCAGGTAAGTAACAGGAGCTGGACATTAGTACAAGGAAAGACAAGCAGGATCTGATTGCTTCCAGAAACAGCTGAGCTATTCCATGGTTTCAGAGCACCAGTGCAGTGAAACAGCACAGAAACAGCCACAGAGGGAGACAGTCCAGGCCACAGATAAGGCTCAAGTCCTTTCTCCAAATCTTTAGAGCATGAAAATGACAAACAAGGTGCTAAAACTGTCACTTATTTGTGGGCAAAATAAATTGTCATATTTCACTCAGAGCCTTATAATAATGAACAGTAAGGGTTTAATTCTAGATATCCAGATTTATTAACATGCCCAAGCTCTAGATGTTTTTGTCAGCCTGAATTTCAATCAAAAAGAAACTGAGGGAATACCAGCAGTTCTGGAGTATCAATTCTGTTTTCCACTTTCACTCCAAGCAGGGAATCACAATCAACCTGAAGAAGTTTCTCAATCCTCAATCACAGAATGGTTTGGATGGACACACAGAATCACTAGGTTGGAAAAGACCTTTAAGATCATCAAGCCCTTAAAGCTCATCTTGTTCCACCCCCTGCCATGGCAGGGACACCTCCCACTGTCCCAGGCTGCTCCAAGCCCTGCCCAGCCTGGCCTTGGGCACTGCCAGGGATCCAGGGGCAGCCACAGCTGCTCTGGGCACCCTGTGCCAGGGCCTGCCCACCCTCACAGGGAACAATTCCTTCCTAATGGCCAATTTGTCTGTGGGAAGCCATTCCTCCTGGTCTTGTGTCTCCAAAGCAGCTGAACTATCCCACACTCGGGACCCTCAGAGTCTGTAATCCCAGTCCAGCGATGCAGGGGTGCTCAAACGCATGCAGGCACCTTCCCCCTGTGTGTGAGTGCACAGCTCCCCCCTCCCAGCACAGACAGCCCCAGCAGGGCTCTCACTGAGTAGCTGCAGGTCTCCCTGACCACCACACGGTTGGCAAAGGTCTCGTTGTGGGCTTCGATGCGCAGCGTCCTCTCCCTCCAGTTCACCGTGTTCTTCTGGATGAAGAAGACGTGCTCCACCCCTGCAATCTGAAGAGGAGGGGCAAACACAGAGAGACAAGAGTAACTTTAGGAGGCAGCCAGCAGAATGCAGGCCTCTGTGCTCCCAAGGTTCCACCTGCCTTCTTCAGCAGCCTGGGAGCATCCACATTCAGCTTGCAGCTGCGCTCAATGACATGGATGGCCCCATCCTCACTCCTGGATTCGTGCAGGATTTCACTCCCCAGGAAGACTGGGATCTCTGGGCATGTAGGAAAGCGTTTCTCATAGGCCTAGAAGTGAAAATAAAGTCAATTTCAGCTTCTGGGTAAATCAATTTTAACTCATTCTGAATTAGTTGATTCCCTTACAGTGAAAGCCCAACAAAACAGAGCCCCCTGAACCCTGGAGTTTGCCCCAGCTTCCTCAGAGGTGAAGTTAAAGCAGAGTAGGCACAAGCAGAGACAGCACCATGTCAGTCACCAGCCAAGCATGACCTAACATAACTTTTCCTTGACACATGAAGTAGAAACAGAATCCTGTTGTTGAAGAATACTAGGAAGGGAATCATGACTTCAACATCAGGAAACTCCTAACTAGCAAAAGCAAACAGAGCTCTGCTGATTGCTGCTGGCTAAAGACTGGAATATTATAATCTCTGGCTCAATACTGTCTGTATGAAGCCTTAAAATGTGATGTGCCAAACAGTTCTTGTTGCCCTAAACTACCAAGGGTAAGGCTACTCACTTTGCCTCAATTCATCCATTTCTGAAACAACTCTGTCCTGGCTCTGAAACGTTCCCTGTTCTGTTAGCACATCCCTGTGAAAAGCCCTTTCTCCAAAGCTTCTTTAGCAGCTCTAGCAGAAATGCAGTCTTCCCTGGCACTTGCATGAACAGCACCTACTGCTCTGCTTCTTCCCTAACTTCTTCATCTCTTACTGTATTCTGTTTGCAGGGTGGAATGTTTTCCTTGGACTTCTGAAAAACCTCTTGCATGTTGTGCTGCTGTTGCAAATATGTGGTAGCTGCACAAGCTGCCCAGAGCTCCACTGCAGCTGTTCCTGGAACAGAACCTGTGCTCTCCCTCCACTGGACTCTCAGAGCTCCACATTTCCATCCTAAGATGTTTCTGCCTCATTGCAAGGCAATTCCTCTAGGAACTGCTGTCATCTTCCCACCTTCCAGAAGACACCACCATTTTATACAGCACAGAAAAATAAAAATATTCATGAGTTCTCTGCCCCAAAAGCAAACATTGATGTGCTGATGCTGGAGCTGGGCTGGCTGTCAGCTCCCCATTAGCACAGCCATGCAAAGCCTGGATGCCCCTGCACAGATTCATGTCCCTGATCCCAAAATAGCCCAGGCACTTAAGGACACATTCCATATCTCCTGCTCCCGGACCTCTGGACGGGAAAGGAGCTATTTCAGATTATCATGTTGCTCCAGTATCAGGAGGGAAGTGCAGGCAGCTGCCAGCTGGAGTCCTGGCCAGAACAGAGCACGCAGGTTTGAAACCCTGCTCTCCCAGTCCCTCAGCAGCGTCCTGCTTGCTTTGCCACACTTCCCAGAGAACTTTCCTGTGTTCTCCTACCTTGCTTTTCACTCCTCATCACAGCAATAACAAAACCAGTTTAGATAAATCCAAAATTCCCATGGTAAGTGATTGTTTCCAACACAGATCCACCTGGCTCCAGCCAAGAGGAGCACACTCACTGCTTTGAGCAGCTTAATTTGTCAGGATGGGAATTCATGGATCTGTGTCTGGCATTGCCACAGGACACTCCCAGCCATCCTCTCCTGGTGCCCTTTGCTCCAGGGCCACCTGGCAGGACCTGCACACCTCAGCAGTGCTCCCCTCCCTAAACTTGCCAACCCATTCAGCTGCTCAGGTGGAGTCACCACTTCCTATTTGTGCTCCCACCTGCCCTGTCCCAACCCTCCAGGCTCCAAACCACCTTCCAGGGCTGTCCTGAGGCCAAAGCCTTCACCTTGCTGGTCTCTCCTGTTCCAGCACATACAAAATGTATCTCTTTAGGCCACCCATTCTAAGTTACTGGAGTCCCAAGTGGTTGGGCAGGGCATGCTGAGAACATCTTCAGAGGCCACTGGGATACCAGAAAGCTTAGCAACTGCTTTTGGGCAGTTTGTCCCATGTCACTCCATACACGTGCCCTTAGCACACTTGCACAAAGTGTCACTGAAAGCCCTTCCCTGAAAGAAGGCTGCCCTAATTAACTCCACAGCAAGGGTGGACAGTTTGATAGGACAATGGGAAAGGGTGTTAAACTGAACACTTAAATCACATGTTAGGAAGAAATTCTTCCCTGTGAGGGTGTTGAGGGCCTGGCACAGGGTGCCCAGAGCAGCTGTGGCTGCCCCTGGATCCCTGGCAGTGCCCAAGGTCAGGCTGGACAGGGTCTGGAGCAGCCTGGGACAGCAAAAGGTGTCCCTGCCCATGGCAGGGGGTGGGACTGAATGGGCTTTTAAGGTCTCTTCCCACCCAAAAGATTCTGTGATTCTGCTCTTTCAGGGGTGCAGCTGTGCCAGGAACATTTGAGGGAGTTTCCAGACAAACAAGAGCTGTTCCAGTGGGACCAGGACCCTCCAAAGCCTCACTTGAACAGCTTCACCTGTAATGCCCCCTCTCCACAGAGGGACCACAGGAGCCACTCTGGAACCACCACGGAACCCAGGTGCCCGTGGCTCCCATCTGAAGGCAAACCACTGGATCTCAACTCCAGCTGCTTCTTTCTCACTAAGTATGGACTTGATCCATCTGGAAACAGGCTCCCTAATAAACTGTCATTAGATCCAGCAAAACTAAGACCAGGACTAAGAGTGCAGCCACTTTTCCAGTCAGCTAAACAACATCTGGAGCAGGAAGAGAGGCCAGGGCTGAGGCACATGGCAGTGCACAGCCTGGTGATATAACTGTGACACGAGCCCAAACACATTGCCTAAATTGGGGGAACACTGCCATATTTGACAAAGAATCCATATCCACATCAATATTAAGTCCTTTGCTAATCTTCTTTGCACAACAGCTCTAAAAATACAGCAGGGAAGATGCCTGAGATCACATGAAGGACAGCTGAAGCCCCACGCTGCAGTGACAGCAAAGCTGTTCCCAGAGCACCCAGACTTTCCATCCCTGCAGACTGAGCTGAGCAGAGCAGCCCATTTCTGCACCCTGCAGAATCCTCTTACCAAAATCCTCCTCTCTGTGCAACAGCCCATTGCTGCAACAGGGAAACTGAGGGAGCTTATAAAGACAAAGAAATACTTAATTTTTTTCAAGGCTGTTATGTCTCCTCCTCTGGGATTCTGCAGAGTCCAAGGTGGACAACAGAACATCCCAGGGAAATGAAAGGCACAGAGTATTTAGTATTAATTGTTTCAATGCTTTGGCTGCCTGCACTTGCTCTTTCAGCTCCTTCCTGCAGGAACTCTGCACAGAGCAGGATACAGGAACTGGGATTTGTCTCTCCCTTCTGTGCCTCTCCTTTCCCAGAAGGAACAACAGCAGTGCTGTGCCAGCACTGGGTGCTCTGCTGTGGGTCTGCACTTCAGACTGACACTGGGATGACTAAAGTCTCCAACTTTCAGATATATATCAAATATATATCTAATAAAATTAATGGTTCCATGAAGCCACCCCCTCCCTTCCTCTAAACCCCACTGGGATTAACACCTGATACCCAAACCAACCATTCCACACGAGGTGCTACTCAGGCTCACCAGTGTCCTTCCCTAAATCAAGTTGGTTTTTCCCAGATTTCGGACAAAACAATTGTTGCAAAAATCAGTGCTTTTGTTGTAGTGGACTGTGACTAACAGTTAAAGAGTAATTTAAACCTCTCCAGTCCTGAAACTGAAATTACACACTAAATTTCACAAGAGCGCTGAGTGAAGACAGAGGGACCTGGAATCTGAACTCATCAAGATCTTTTGCTTAGAACTATAACCAATTATTTTTGGGTGTATCTAAATGTAAAAAAAAAAAAAAAGCATGTAGATACAGTTCATTGGAATGAAAAAATTTCAACAAGGAAAAAATTAAATTGAAAAAATAAAGTGAAGCAATTTCTAGCTGAAAAATTAAAACATGCCGGAAAGTCAAAGATCTCAAAGGTTCAGTAGTGCCAGATTTTCCTTTCACACTGAAGAGAGCCCAAACTAGGATAAGGATATTTCCAACTGGTTACAGTGACCTCTTCATCCCAAAAAAGACCCCTTAGTGCCACTGAAGCTGACAAATAATTAATTACATGGAGCAATCATTAGCAGTGATACAGCTGACGTGAAATCAGCAGAGTGCTCTGACCAAGCTTTTGCCCTGGGATCTCCTGGGAAATACATCCAAGTGGTTTTACCTGCTCTGCTAAATATCCATCCCAAATGGATTATGGACCAGCACTGAAAAGTGAAAATCAGCTTGTGAGAGGAGAGCTTGAGAACAATGCAAGAAGCCATGCCTGGAAGTGCTCTGACCTGCTGGCTAAATACTCAGTAACCAGTACAAACCCCACATGTGTGAGAACACAGTACTCCTAAGGTCAGGCACATGCCAAACAAGAAAAAAGAATATAAAACCACAAGTGTCAAGCCCCAAAAGTGACAATCTAAAGCCTCACAGCCATGGAGAAAAGAGGAAATTACCCTCCTTTACACCCCCCCTACTCCACCTGCTCAGCCCTTCCCCTGCAGAGCAGGGCCCCATGCAAGCCCTGCACGCTCCCAGCTCCAGGGTGTCAGAGAGCCTGGCAGTGCTCCTGCCCTCCACTTCAGGAGCTGTGCCACTGCTGTTCCTACAGGAGCCCCAGGACATGGCCAGCAGGCAGGATCTTTCTAACAGCTACTCCTGTTTCTCCTTGGCAGGCTTTTCTAGGAAGTGACCTTGAAATCAATTTACACCACAGAGACCTCAGGAATGCACAACAACAGGGACGTGTAACCACTGAATTACTGCAGGACACAAAACACCTCAGCAGCCAAACCCCCTGCACACCTCGAGGCAGCTCCCTCCAGCCTGCTGGGTCCTGAGTGGCTCCCATGTGCTCCCAGAGGAAGCTTCTGTGGGATGGGATCTCCAAGAGTACCAGAGCTGGGGGTGGGGGGAATCTGCATTGTGTGGAGCACAAAGAAACTTAATAATGATGCACCTGATGTAGACAGAATTTCTAGTCAATATTACACGAATACGTGACAAGGAGAAGACTTCATCCTTCTGCTAAAACACTTCTAATTTTCAGGCTCAGACAATGTTTAAATCTGTATTAATTAATGAG